GATAGGCAATCACCTCCTTCCAACCCGAGTAGTCCCTTTCATCAGCGACTTCCTAATATCCATCAGCTCCTTCTTCGCATAGATCTTAAGCTCCTCCACAGTTGCAGACAACCACCTAGCTACTTGAACTCTTCCACTGAATGTCAGCCCCCTTAATTTCCCTTCATCTGCAATAAATCAGTAGCGCTGGTTGCAGTCTCCTACACCCCTACTCTCTTATTCATCACATTCAGTTGTATAGTTTTACCTTCTCTAATATGTTGCTCCATCTATAGGTATCTATCATTAACAGTCTCAAACTCCATCCATCCCACCTAGCCTTCTCCACTAGTTGTGGTTTAGACATGTTTTCCTTCTCAAATATCCACCCATTTCTTGTTTTCTACATCCACCATAAGATGTAAGTAGAAAGTGCAATTCTATCTTTGTTATAATCAGTGGCTCTCAAATTTCAAAGGTCCACCCACCAGTCCTTAAAACATACCTCATCACTGCAATGCTTATCCCACTGAAGGCCAAGTAGCTTCCAAACTTTTTGAGCCCACACACACCTAAACAACAAACGTTTCAAGTGTTCCACTTAATCACCACACCAGCAACACACTACATCATGACCCACTCCCCTTGTCTTCAGCTTAGCCTTTGTCCCAATTGTGCCAACACCTCCAAATATAGTTGTTCACTTTCTGTTTGATTGGTAAAATCCAAGAAGTTCTCCACACCTATTGCATCTCTTCTTTTCCTCAGTAGTCTTTCCTATAGGCCTTATGCACTCTTTCCTTACAAATCAGCCACTTCTCTCAATCCCTAAACCCCATTGTTGCCCAAGATGTTCCAACTTACCATTACAATCTTTAAATCAGCCACTTCTCTCAATCCCTAAACCCCATTGTTGCCCAAGATGTTCCAACTTAGCATTACAATCTTTAAATAGTCTTGTAGAACTGGATATTATATTTTAAATTAATTAAATTAGTTGACGGACATTATATCTTAAGCATGGGGAGATAAATTGAGTAAATTAAACTCGAGACTCAAATATAATTTTGGAGCTAAATAAGAAGTTCAACAATAATTTTTTAGTTGAATAAATTATTCAAGTGTGAAAAGTGTAGGTGGCCTATAGCCTTAGAATCCTATTCACACTTAGAGAGTCTTTATTTAGCACCTCCTTAGGGTTTTTGTTGTATCCTATATATACACCAACTCCTTGGATGTTTCGGCGGCCCTCTTTCATAAGATAAGAAGAGTATACATGCACGGTTTGTGTGTTTCTTGTGACATAATCGAGAATCTAATGGAAGCTTTGTTTTCGTCGCCCACCAAGACTTACGAAGTCGATGCAAGGAATAAAATAGATGATTTTAAGATAAACCGAGGTGGACGATGCACGTAACACACCCATGGGTATTCAACCACGACAATAAAGTAGCCAAGGGCGGCTGGGTGAGTCGCGTCGCCCTGCGACATGGTCAGACGCAGCACGGCGCTCTCGTAGCCGCTAGTCTGCTGCTGCTCGGTGATGGCTTACAGCAGATGGGCTGAGTCGCAGGGCAACGGTGCGCGAGCTGCAGGGCGCACTGGGCGACATGCGAGTTCCTCGCATGCGTCACGCCATGCATGTGACAAGCACGCCCAGCTCTCAACAGGCTCGGCAACACGCACGCAAACGGGCGACGTATCTAACGCCTACACGACCTTGTTAGCCTATTTTCACTTTTTTAAATGAAATATAGCCACAAAATTAATTTCAATGAAATATATTCATTTTTACATATAAAATGACCATTTTACCTTAATAAATGGTTTGTTAATTAACCATCACATCCCCACCTACCATTTCTTCCCTCCACAACTTTGCATGATCAAATGGTAAGAAAGAAATCTTTACGGAGCACGGAAATTTGTTCAAGACCCTTTCCAAATTATATTGAACCAACTTACCATACTTTTCTTCTGAAAAATTGCATGCTTTTGGCCAAATACACAACCAAGTGAAGAAAAGTTTGTTCATATCATATTATCTTATTATTTAGAATTTTGTTTCCGGCCATTTATTCAAGAAAAAAAACAAAGAGTTTCTACATCCAAAAAACAATTGTTTCTCTTTCAATCTTCCAGTTTCTATTTAATCCACAATACAACTTTTAATTTAAGGAATTACATTTTACTTTGTGGAAACAATTTTGGGGATACTTCTCAAGAAATCAACTTCTAGAGAGAAGACAATATTGGTTCTCATAAATCGTTTTGACTTCTATAAACAATTTATGGAGATAAATTTTTTATCTCCAAGAAACCATATTAGAACCAAGACTTTCCTTTGGGATTGAGTATATATAACAAAATGAATAAAATTTTATCACAAAAAAAAAGAGAAGAAAATACAAATTGCAGTAGAAATACAATTAAATCACCTATTTAGCATTGTCGTACATCTCGCTGGATGTTATCGACCGTGTGGAAGAAGTACCCATCTCGTTGGACTGAAATGGCCATCTTTTTTGGAACCAACTATTTCTTTGTCTATTTGTTGGGTTCGTGGACATAATGGNATACCTAACGAACTCCTCAAACGGAGAAAGAGCTCCCATACGGGAGAAACACACTCCCCTACGGGAGAAACAAACTCCTCTACGGGAGATAGAACACAAAAACCAACAAACCAAAACACAAGTAAACCGAAAAAAACACGAAACTAAAAAAACACATTAAACGAACTAGAATTAACGCCCTCCCCGCCAGTCGGGAAGACCCATCAACAACAACACCTAACGAACTTCCAACTCCGAAAATCAAGAAGCAACAAACCGGCCTGCAACATCGACAGCCTCCAGATCTTCGAAATACACCGGAGCCGCCATGCAACCACGCCGCCACCGCCGGAGGACCGCATCGTCTCAACACCAGGGACGACCGGAATAGGGGGAAACCAAGGCAAGGCCATTGCCATAGACTTACCGCAAGGTTGCCTGCAGCCACCGCCGGAGCACAGCCGCCGATGAAGTGCGCCTTTCCTCGCCCGCTTTGGCGCTCATTTACTCGAGCGGAGACCACTACGAGGACGGATAAGTAACGGCCCACTGTTGCCGCTCCACTGAACTTAGGGCGAGCCGGAAGGTCGCCGGAATTAGATGGCTAGGGCTGCTGGAGGGGAGGCACATCAGAGGAGAGTCGCAGCTAGGGGGAGCGAAAGAATTTAGGGATTTTGTTTTTTAGAGAGAGAAAAAAGCCGTGCAGGTGTTAGAGTCGACATGGGTGGGTTTAGACAATAGAAACCTCCCGAGATTTTCAAGAGTCGGGATGCTCGCTACATTTCTCTCCAACCATCTACATCCATGTTGACGGCAGGAATGAGACAATAATGAGCCAATTATTTCTTTGAGAAAAAATAGATTGTAAGACTATCCTTATCTCCAATCCAATTCAACTCAACCTAATACTTAAAAATTATTTCTCTCTCCTCCACTTACACAACTCAACCTTACAACTCAATTTATCTTCATCCTTAACCCAACTCAATCTAAATATTTATTTTATTTTAATTTATTTAAAAATTACAATTTTATTTCAAAATATATCAAGTGTGGTCTCTATTTGTAGAGAATGAAAAAATACGAATTTTAATATCTTTTTTATTTTTTTTCAGCAAAAAAAATACACTTATCCAATCAAAATGGGACAAATGTCCCATTCTTATACACTCATGGATGAATTTACATGTATTAGTAAGGGGCCAATTTCCCTCCCCCATTCTCAAATTTTAATTTTTTTTACGATTAATATTAAAAAAATTAATTTTTCCACTCTTTAAATTTATTTTTGCATCCCTAGATTATTTGTTTTTAAATGTTACTCAGCAGGACAATTTGTCCACAATTGTCAATTAACAATTCAACACTTCTTTTATTTTACTATTAATTTTGTATATTAATTATTATTATTTTACAATTTCAATTGACTCATATAAAAGATTTCAACTCTCTTTTATTGTCCAGGCTAGGGTAGGTATTTTTTACTGAAAACCGAAAATTGAACTGAACCGAACCGACTTATTTGTAACGGTAATCGAAAATCGGTTACCGAAATGTTATTGGTTCGGTATCGATTCTGAACCCATTATATCATATTTTTTGCCCCTCTCAACTAATTTTTTGATTTCGCCCCTACATACACTATACAGATCGTGACCCAAGATCACAATATAACTTGGGTCGCTCAATTTTCACGAGTTTTCCTTGTTTTTCTTTTTTTTTTTAAAAATTTTTTTTAGTAGGTGACCCACTAATCGGGTCACCGATAAAACTAGTCTAAGGGTAATACGACTTTCCCCGCACCTATTAAAAAGACTACTTTTCATTGTTTTATAGTATGTACATACATGGCCATTGGTTGTATTACCGCATAGCAAAATCGGAGACCATTATTATACCTTATCGCGATCACAGTTATTTTATTTCGTATTATTCTTCAAATGTACTGTGCGTAGATGAATGAACAATTAGTCAATTATTGCATCACCATTGACCGTACTGGAATACAAATCAAAAGCAGAAGATTTACAGTTGTACCACACCACTTATTACTTTACAAGGTAAAAATATACATCATTTTCAATGCAACTAGCTAAGTAGTCAAGACACAAAGTATTACGTTATTGACGTTTTTAACGGAATCTAAAATATTCTACATTGAATACACACGTGCGACATGTTGACCTAAGTAACAAACGAAATTCACACATCATATCATCACACCCCGGACGTAAACGGCACACCGGTAGCCGGAATCCACGAACCCCCGCCCAAGAAACTCCCCACCGAGAACTTCCCAGCCTCTTCCAAGCTCGATATCACATGAAACCCGGCCCACCTGACCCGCCCACCCGTACCCGCACCAGCACCCATATTATTATACTCCCCATAATACAGAGTGTCGAGGGCAAAATCGCCATTCCACTCAAGCCACCCAGCAGGGTCCACCCCACCGTCCATCTCACACTTGATAAAAACCGTCCTCGAGTACCTCTGCCACGGCCTCCCGAGATACGTCTTGAGTCCTGACGTGACCACGCGCGAATTGTGTACAACAATTCCGGTATTTTCGTGTGGGTCCTTTCTGCCCTGTGCTGTTACGGTGTTCCACTGGCTGGAAGAGATTTTGATGTAGATATTGGAGTTTTGGATGACGACGGTGGCATCTCCGAAGATGAAATCGATGGTGCCGTAAATGTCGCATGCGCGGTAGAACTGGCGCTGGGAGTAGACGTACAGTGTGTCTTGGTACCCTTTGAAGCTACACATGTATAGAACCGAGAGGTCAGAGCCTGACCGGAAGGCGACTGCCTGGTGCTTGGAGGGGCCCGCCGTGTTCTCGAACGTTATGCCTCGTGCGATGAAACCTCCACCGCTCACGGCTGGATATTATTAAATTCAAAATATAGATATTATTATGTGGATCATTTTTTTAGTTGGTGTGCGTGTGTGGTTCAAAGAGGGATATTGGAGGTAGTAGAATGATGGTGATATGTACAGATTTGGGTTGAAATTGTGAACTCACATCAAGTCTACAGCTAATAAGGTGTTTGACAAATGATGTATGTGTATGTATAGAGGTCATTGCTTTCAACAACCTACTTCACTGAAATAAATGACACACTAATTATATTTTATATGTAAAGTTGTGTATGTTGAAAGTGAAAATCGTGGTTATCCACTAACTTATTAGTTGGCACACAGGAAAATGAAACATGCTAACAAGGAAAATATATATATTTATGAGCTAGTAGCAAAACTTTATCAATGATAATTAAAACGCAGTCAATTTGAATGAACTACGTAAACAAGTCCTTGTCCTAATAAAATAAAACTCACCAAAAGTCGCAGAACGAAAAGTTGTGGAGCCATCTTCGACATTGCTACTCCCCGTAACAACTGTTGCCTCTATGCCGTCCCCAATCAACATTAGGTTCTTCATTGTCCTCTTCACCACAACATTTTCTTTATAAACCCCCTTCTTTACATATATCACGAATCTGCGACTCCCCATTCGCTTGGCTGATGTAGCCAAAGCTTCAGAAATAGTCTTGTAATCACCCGAGCCATCTTGTGCCACCACAACATCGGCTTTAATGGTGGGCCCCGGTGATTGGAGCAATTTCCGGTCGCCTGCCGAGACCCATTCCGGGAAATCATTATCGTTGGTGTATTTAACGACTGACAACAGACGCCTGTTTTTGTTCTGCTTAATTTTGTCGAGCGAAAAAGTTGAGGATGATGATGACGATAAGGACATGGCATTATTGATGGCTAGTGAGTTGCTAAGGAACTTTGAAAAGTTGGTTTGCATGAATGGCAAGTGGTCTTTGGGCAAGTTAAAATCAAGAAATCCATTTTGGCACGTTTGTTCATTCGCAATGGCCGCACTCAACCATGTTTGTGCGTCGGCTAGTGCGTTAGGGTCGTTTTTGGAGGTAATGGATTGGTTAAGTTGATAGATGGAGTCTTCGTAAAGCTCTAGACAGTCGGCCAAAGCCGATTTAGCTAGCTCGTCTAGTGAACTTATGTCCATGTCGGAAATGAGTTTGTACGCATTTTGGGCTTCGAATAGAGTTATCCTAAGGCTTTTGTCGTGAAAATCGGGTAGGTTTTCGGTAAGGGAAGTGGTTTGTGGGCTTGAGCTGACTAGAGAAGCGCATAGCTCTGGATAAGGGGTTTGGTTACATATAATTGGGGTGTGAGTGGCACAATTAGTATAGCCGAGATGTGTTAAAAGGATTAGAATGAATGGCAGAAGAGAGATTTGATTATCCATGCAGAAAATGATGGGTTTTCTTCTTCTTTATTATTTTGATAGGAAAATACTAAATGAGTTTCGAATGTTTTGGTTATGGAAAATATTTGGTAGAACGAACTCTTTATATAGAGATGTTTTGGCTTGCGTTGAGATACTCCAGATTTATTAGATTTCATGAACTGATTATTGGTAATGACTTTTAGGCCTATTAATTAGTAAATATCAAATGGGATAAGTTATTATATGGGACAATGGCATGAATATCGTAAGTTTCATTGAATTAAAAGAAAATTTGGAATCTTTCAAGTTTGCGATTGGCTTCAAAGGGTTTACCTGATGTGACTCGGCCAGTCACAGGACTACGAAAACCACACCTAACTTGTAATGGTAGAAACTTTAATAATTTAGTTTCAGTAGATGTGTAGGTTTTTATTTGATAGTGAAACTAAGGGCTGGAAATAGTATCAATACAAAGACTTTAGAAAACAGAAGTTAAATTACACATATCAAATCAAATTACTAAATATGGATACACCTTTAAATTATTTTTCTTGGAGCAACTTTGCGTATAGCACATGATCATCTGGCATCAAAGAAGACGAATCAGTTACGGATGTGCCGAAAAAATATTTACATAAATTTAATTTAAAAACCAAAAATTAATTAGTATGTTCGATTATAACAACAATCCCTCTCGCACCAACGTCTAAATTTCAAAGTATGAAATTAAGGAATTATTTCAAAATATTTCACTACCTAGAAAATCTGCAAAATCAGATATACTGATCAAAAACTTGATGCGGCACGGTTTTTTCAATTATTCTGATTGCGGTCAAATCCAGCAGGTAAGAAATCCATTGCCAACAAAGTCAAATTACAGCAATTAATCCAATCATTTTTGCTACAAAAATATTGAATGACACAATTTATAAAATCATTCACAATTATTTACAGATAATATATAAACACGTGTATATAATAAATACATTTCGAATATTTGACACACCAATAAGTTATAAATTGCTCCACAAGAAAACCATATCCATAAAATTTTTGTTAACCCAATTATCGAATTTCAATATGCACTAAGTTAATAATATGTAACTAGCTGGAGCAATTCCTCCACTTTCAAAATTTTATTTAGCACACTTGCATTGGTGAGAAAAATATTATCAAATTTCAATAATGCACTAAGTTAATAACATGTAACTAGCTGGAGCAATTCCTCCACTTTCAAAATTTTATTTAGCACACTTGCATTTGTGAGTGAAAAATCTAAATAGAGATAGTGATATTTTACTACTCTTGGAAAAACAAAATAAAAAAATTACAACAGTTTATGCACGCAGTCTGTGGATATATGTTAATCATCTTTATTTGGTCGCACTAGCAGGTAGGTGTGTGATGTGAATCAAATGTATGACCAATCTCAATTTATTATTTATTTATTTCATTGTATGATTGGGATATGGTCAATCTTTCGTGGAAGAGTGTACCTAACGAAGTCATGTTTTTCACCGTGCGTTGGATATTTTATAGTTTTTAAGTAGTGAATGCACAAAAGAATCAATTAATTAACCCTAAATTATTAAATCTTTTTATCTCTTTAAAAAAAATGTAACGTCCTGATCAGTTATATTCTAAGAACGATCTCACTCGTTCGACTATAGAATGAGATCGGTATTTTCAGATTCCCGAGGCATTTGGTTATGAGAATTTATATGCTTAAGTGCTCGATTATTATTCAAGTATGTGAGATTATCCACATATTCAGTTCAAAGTTCGACTTTGAGACGAGAGAATACTCGGTTAAATTTTATTCAGTAACCGAGTCAGTTTTAGTAATTAATTTCGGTCCATCTATTTTAGACTGGACTTCAGAAGTCGGGATTAAGTATTCCAAGTTGACGAATAATCGAAATTGATTATATTTCGAGAAATCGTCCAAGTCAAGTCGTGATCGGAACCGAGTATGTTCAGTCACGAGCCTCGAGCCGAGTGTCCATGACTTCGAGCCCTAGCCGAGCCTTAGTAGTACAGTACTTAGAATTTTTCTAAGTGTCTCGGTGTGCCAACACCAGCCCTAGTGCATACCATTCCCTCGGCCAAGAAGAGAAACCCCACCAAGGTCGGGTTCAAGTCACTCGTGCCCAAGGGCCCGCGATTTAATTCAAGCCAAGCCATGTTCCATTCCTTGTTGAGGGTTGGGTCATTCTTGGTATTTTTCCAAGTGTTAATCCCTCAAGTTCAGCCATGAACTAAGTCAAGTCCTCGACCCTAGCATTTGTGCGAGTCCGCTCGTGCCAATGGTCCTCGAGCCGAGCCTAAGGCATAGCCGAGCCATGTCCTACACTTGGTTGAGTCTTGGGCATGTCCTTAGAAATATTTTAAGTGTTCAAGCTTCAATTTTCAGCCTTGGTCCAAGTATCACGCGAGCAGCCCGTGAGGAACACGCGCAGCCCAAGCAGACCCCGCGCCCAGGCCCCCAGAGCCAGTGCTGAGTCCAGCCCAGCGAGGTACAGCGCCCACGCCCAGCGCTGGCAGCGTGCGAGTCCACTTCCAAGCCCAAATGTGAAGTCTTCGGCCCACTTTCTCTCCAGCCCAATTCATACGTGTATTACCATGATAATGGAGGGTTAACTAAGCTAAGATGGCCCTAAGAAAGTATTAAGCAAAGTCAACTAGCATGGGCATTATTTTAAGTGTAGTGGGTGATGGACATTTGATTATTTTAATGCACTTGTGTAAGGGATTGTCTCCCACTCATGACCAGACCTAACCAGACCACTTACCTCAGCATTTGTACTCTGAAAACCATCATGGGATGAAGAAAATAATCCACAAAGTTGTCTCCTTGACCAAGCCTAGGACAATCCGCCCCTACCACCTATTTAAGGCTTACTCTTCAGCCATTATGAGCTCTTGACACTTAGAACACTCGCACATATTGAGAGGAGTAAGAGAAAAACCGAGGAGAAGTCCAGCCCCATGCCCGCGCGCGCCTAGACTCGAGTGAAGGAGGAACCGAGCTTCAAGCCATTCCAAGCGAGTTCTCTCAGGGCTTATCAACTTCCAATCATTTCTTGAATTTTTATAAGTCCTTAGAACTCATCCAACTCAGCCATTATGCACCTGAGCCAAGTCCTAGCCCCCAAAGTCGAGAAGGACCCGAGCATAAGACACCTAGAACCATTTCGCATATTGGTGAAGGTTAGCTCGAACCATCCCTTTTTCCCAGCTAGTTCATGATATTTTAAGATTTATCATGAAGAAAAAAATCCATGCATGCTCGTGTTTATCTATGAGTTTTGAATTTTTAGAAATTAAGGGCTTAAATTCGGATTTTTAGTTGCATGCATGGTTAGACCGAGTTTGCTAGTTTTATGTGCCTTATAAATCATGAGAATGATGGTATTTAAATTTGAGCATGTTTGGAGTTCGTTTGCTCGGTCATCTAGTTCATGATCTTATGCGATTTTTCACCCCCGAGCCCATTGAGTTGCATGCGAGTATATGCCATCAATTTAGCCTTAAAAACCATGATTTAGGTTGATAAGTATTCGGCCTTAGTCATATGCTTGAGTTTGAGAAGTTGGTTCGATGACCTAGGGTCCGTACGTGCCATATCGGCCCTATCGGACCATGTCCTTGTTGACCCAAGGTCTCCCAGTGTTTTTTGGCATATTAAAGTCTTTTTCTTCATATTATGTTGATATATGCTGCATATCACCGAAAAAGTAGCCGGATGGCCGGTAAGGACCGGCCATGGTCACTGGTCGCGCCTATAGCGCGCGTAGTGCCGACCCGTGCCAACAGAGGCTAAGTTTGGCCGGTCAGTGCCCGACCCCATGCCTGTCAGTGCCTTCAGAGGTTAAGATTGTCCTTGCTCGTGCCAGCGCCCCGAAGGAACGACGCACAGCAGCCCAGTGCACGCGAATAAGCCCGGCAGCGCTTGGTCAGTGCCCGCGCGTATGGTATCAGCGCAAGAAATGCCTAGGCAGTGCACACGGTGCCCAGTAGCGCCGTGCCAGTCCCAGCGCACGAGGCCTCGGGCCTAGACCCCCGTATCGTGCCCAAGGTCAACCAAGTTTAGTCGCCCTCGGGTCGTGCCCAGCAGCACGCCCGAGTGCCCAGAGCCCTCAGGGTCACCCGGCAACGCCCGAGTGGCACCAGCCGCGTCCGTGGCATCCCGTGTAATGTCTGGCCGGGTTTGTCCCGAGCCCAGTCGTGCCAGTGCCGTGCCAGCCGCACGTCAGCGCACCCAGCAAGTCTCGGTCGTGCCCAGCAGCACCCGATAGGCACCAGCCATGCTAGGGCTCGCACCAGCAGCCTTTGGTCGTGCCTGTCCGCGCCAGGGTGCCAGTGCTGCGCCAGAGCACCAGCAGTCCCGGCGCGGGAACGAGCCCGGTCAGCCCAAGCCAGCGCCCGACCACCCAGTTCACAGCGGACCGGCGGTCTGGCCAGTCAGCAAACCAGCCGGTTCGACCGGCGGTTTGAGTTCGTTTTGGTTTGTGAGTTTCGGTCCGAGTTAGTTTTCGAAATCTAAGTATTTTTTTCTGAGCCACACCAGTCCAGTCAAGTATGCCAGTCTAAAATCTGGACTTAGTATATTCTTAGAGGACCATTAGTGCGTTCCCTTTCATCCGGTTAAGTGAGCAAATAGAATCGAGCATCATAGCATGTCATTAAGCATTCCGAGCATATACTTAGCATTCATTTGCTTATATGTTTATGTAGCTTAAGGAGAGTCGACCCTCCGACAGCTACTTCAGTATCCAAGCACTTGCAACAGAAATTTCCAGCATATCAGGTGGGAGCCTTTACAGGCGTTACATTGCGCATTTCAGTTATCCTATATGCGGTATGTGAGTAAATTAATTACCTGAACGGTCGAATTATCCCGTTTATGGTTCAATTATATCTCCCAGGTGAGAGGCCGTAGCAAGAGCCTTCCTATTCTACTTGGTACCCGATAAGGGCCGAGGTAAGGGCCTTCAGTTTTATCGGGTGATGTGCACATGAGCGGCCAAGGCCGACAAGGGTCCTTGAGACCACATATTTCAGTTTCAGCTCTTATATATTTAAGTCATGATATGTTATTATCGATGTTGTCTAATTCAGTACTGGTCAGTATGGGG